AGTGGCTAAAACTGGATGCCACCCCATGTGAGACCTCACTGGTGGCTGCCCCATATGGCTACTTTTATTGAATACCTGGGTTTTTTTATTTAGGAGAGGGAAATTCAGCAAAGGACCACCAAGATGGTCGGGAGCTGAAAAAGTTGCCCTCCCAGGAGAGGCTGGACACCCAGGGCTGGCTGGAGAAGAGGTGGCTTTGGGTACTAAAACTGAAAGTGGAGAGACGCTGACTGGATGCCAAGAGAAATTTCCTCCCAATGCAGACAGGCAAGCAGGGGAACAAGTTGCTCACAGAGTCTGCCCAATCTCTGTCCTCGATGGTTTTCAAGACTTGACTGGATGAAGCCCCGAGCAATCTGGTCCCATCTCACAGCTTCTCCTGCCTTGAGCTGGAGTTGGAATGGAGATTTCCTGAGCTCCCTTACAGCATGAATTATCTTGTGATTTATTTCCTTTTTCTTTTTAAAGACTGACCTTATCTAATTTGAGGTATACTGAAACTTTCAGATCTTTTTTGTCCTGTTGCAACCTAAATCACTCTGCTAATTTGTTTGCTATTTTATATCTGTATGTAATCCTACGTAATTTTATCTGACTTTCTGTAGTTCATTAGATCCATTTTCAGTTCTTACCACATTCTGAAAAGTCCCTCACTTCTGGATCCTCCTTAGCCTTGGCACTCCTCCAGGCCACAGCATGGAGCAGGTCCTTGCAGATTGCCTTGGCATATTCCAGTCCATTTGTGCTTAAATACCAATAATTATTCTCAAAAGGTGAATTTCAACTTCTTGTGCAACCACTGCATTTGATTCAGGCTAAGTTTGTGTATGGGAGTTGTTCATATGTTGTTGCATCAGTGTCCAAGTCTTGCAGTACTTCTCCTTGATGCCGCTGATTTAATTGGCTAGTTTTCCAACAAAGAAGAAAATTTGATCTGAGATGATTCATACTGAGGAACCTCATTATAAACATCTTGAATTTTTCTTGGCTCGTAGAAGCTGTCTTGGTAACACATGGCAGGCAATATTACACTTTTTCTTTGTTATTCTCGATAATGGATGCATAGATGTAAATATACGTGCATGCATACATATATTTCTGAGTGTTTCTTTCAGATGGCCAGGAGTAATGGCAGAAGGTCATGAGAATTGGGGGATGGTGGCTGAATTTTGAAACAGTTTCTAGTCACTTGCTGGTCCCTGCAGTTGGGCTGCATATAAGTTTCTGAGTCTTCCTTCTAACACATCTTAAATATTCTTTTAGCCCTTCTTTGGTCCTTTCAGTATTTTCTATGACTTTCAAGGATAATTGCTCCTAATTTAGGTAAATCCTTGACATCTCCTAAAGTGCCATCGAGTGAAATTCACTGAGCTGTAATGAATACTTCTGGACTCCTTCCACGCAGCTCCTGTTCCTCCTCTCCTTAGAAAGCATATAATTTCTATGAACAATCTTATGGTTTCTTTCTTTCTTGAGATTAACAACCAAGTTTTCCTTGTCTATGGGGAGGAAGCCTAAAGTTCTGCTTGGATAACTCTATTCACTTTGTGAGACTTTCTCCCTTCCTTTGCCCATCTTGCCTGTCAGAGTCATGTCCCGCCATGACCAGATGGGGAAATCTCTTATGCAAGGGACACCACAAAAATGGTATGATGGCAGAGTCTTGTTGTGATGTTACTTGTAAGCATTTATCTTTTGAGAAGTATTAAGATAATGGCATGTTCGATACTAATCAGACAATAGCAGATGCTATTTCTTTGCTCATCTTTACCATATTACTTAGGAAAATATTCTTTGTTAAACTCTTTTTCACATAACCTTTGTGTCAGTGGTATTAGGTGCCCAAGTGTATTTGTGTTTGTTGTGGTAGAAATGTATGCACAGATTGAATTTTTTACCTGTTTTTTGAGAGCATATGTTTTGGGAGCTGAAAATTGTGAGTGTTTGAAGCCTAATCTCCATTATTCCTCCTACTGCCAAGTTTCTGGCCTCAGATACTCACTTAACCTTTTTCCTTTCCTTGGTTCTTTCTTCTTCAGCACAGGGATATGTAACTTTGAGTACTTCTCCTGGGGATTTCATAATTCATTAAAAATTTTAAGCACTTTGAAGATATAAAATATGTATGTAGTAAATGCCAAATATTTTTACAATAGTGCAAGGAAAAGGTTGATTTCTGAATTTGAATTTGTTACCATCCATAAAATTAATGTTCCTTCTGTACTGCATTACAGTACCTCAGTCATTCAAACAATAATGAGTACAAAACAGAGTCATGAGTTTTGCACTGCTACCCTTCAGACTGGGCATTCATACACTCGTGGGAAATTCTGTTTCTGCTGGTCTGTTCGATTTATTGTTGGTTTAATAAATCAAGTCACCGGTATTTAAAGATGATTTAACTTAAGCCTAGATCCTCAAAACCTTTAGTTCTGGGGGTAGGTCTGTCTGATGGGGGTAGTTCATTTGCACAGTTCTTGAAGCAGAGACCTGGACCCAAAACTTGTCTCTCATATGTGAGTGCTTCCAAACATCTTGGGCACTCTTCTTTCCCTAAAGAATTAATTAGAAGGACTTCCTGCCATTTATAAAAGGGGTTGAAGACAGCCTACCTTCTACAGCTGTTTTAACCTGTGAAAGAGAAAGGTGAAATACATAGGTGTGAGTCCCCTCAGTCAGAGAAGGGCATGAAATCAAGAGTTCTCAGTTCCTGGGGAAAGTGCCCTAACCTCTGTGTCTTCATCTAGGAGAAGATGAGCTGGGGAGGGAGAGGCAGGATGGGTACTATTGGCACGTGTAAAAAAAATTTATTGTCTGCCCTCTTTTTAAATGGGGCAACTTAAAGGCTGTGCCCACACTTCCTACAGTGCTGTGTTACCTGTCCCTGAGTTAGCACCCAGGCAGCCGACAGATGTACCCGATGTATTTGTAGCTTTAGGTGCCGCAGCACGGCAGGACTGCTATGGCAGCTCTGCTGGGAGACCCCGCACGCCGCTGCTGCTCCAGCTCATGGCTGAGCTGGCTGAGGCCCCACACCAATCCTTAAAGGCAAGGCCTTGAGAGGGGCAGGATTTAAGGACACACTTTCGTCTTAGGAATATCAAGATGGTGAGAAGCAGCTGCACAATGTGATGGCATCATGGCAACTCCATGCCAGTGCTGGGAAGAGATAAAACCTCTGCCAACATACAGTACCCTGCTGCCTTACCTTGCTGCTTTCAGGACCTCAGTGAGTGTGTCCAAATAGCACTGCAATAAGTCTTCTTGATTACCAGATGCTTGAGTATGCTTCATCTGGCATGGAAATGCCTTCTCTTTACTCTTCTCTTGAAAAGTGGAGGCACAAGCTTCTGCCATGGATTCCTATTCAGGAATCTTCTCGTCCCTAGGCAAACAAAGGTAGGCATCCCAGCAATGAGCATGGCCAGAGCATCCAGAAGTCAGTTTGCTTGACATACACAAAAAAATGTCATTAGTACCAACTAGTGCACTGTTCTAATGATGGCACAGCAGAAGTAGCTGCAGCAGTGTTTGCTGGTGACCTTGCACTGAGACTATTTGTTCATCACATGGAGGAGGACTGTTTTGTAGCAAGTTGCAGAAGATGGGGAAGAAGACTGAGCAAAAATCAAAGTTTTTATTATCTAATGCTATCAAAATGTAGAGCCCTACACCTCACAAAGGAGAAGCAAATAACTTCAAAAGCAAGATGAGGGAGGTGAAATTAACCAGATACATGAAAGTTTAACAATTACTAAAGCTGGAGGAAGGGATTTGTGCTCATGCATTTCATGAAGGAAATAAGGGACTATTAACAACATTAGGCAGCCACCAGTCTGTCTGGCAGTGCTTTGTAGTCAGTCCAGAGGATGCCAGGCTTCCCTGGCAGTAACCAGAAGTGATAACCTAGTCTGTCACCAGCCAGGCAGCCAGGTTGCTGGCTACAAAAGGTAAGAGCAAGAGCCATGTTTTAAGAAGAGTTGCACTTTTTTGGGTTGTTTTGAGCATTGGTGCTAGATTCCTGCTGCCGCTGCTGACAAGAACCAGCAATGCACATTCCTGCTGTTGTTAAATTACTTATATATTAATTGCTATCTATTCTGGATACTGCAGTTGCATTTTTCATGTCTGTTGATTGCTTTTTGTTGCTGCCTGCTGAAGATAGCGTGGGCAGATTCTACGTCTGATGCTTTGTTTTAGTTGCCTGGCTACTGTAAAATGTTATCTTAGCGTTTGCTGAGGTGCCACAGATGCTTTCTTGATGAGTGTCCAAACAAGGAAATATATAAAAGATGCTGGTTGAATGCTGTGCTTGCCTGTTGCTTTTGCTAGAGATGCTACAGTATGCTGACTTTGCTTTGCTATTACAGACTCTGTACAATAATGTAGAAGGTAGACTGAAACCTTTCATTTATGCTTTGGGGTCATGGTCAGTACCAAAGGTAATATTATCTGTATCTTTGAATGCAAAGGACTTGTTGTTGGAAGGAGATGATGGGCAGCTGCTTCACTTGATTGCAATGCATTCTTTTCTGGTAATTGTTACAGAGAAAACATATTTTTTCTGTTGATTGTCTTGCCAGATTTTTCCCTTCCTCTACCTGTGAAAGTCTCCAACAGAGAGAGATTTAAGTCTCAAAACTTAATCAGGATGTTGACTTCAAACTTCTTCCCTGCCAAAACCTGAAAGTAACCAGTATTTCTTCTGCTCTCTGTGTTTTCTGTTAATGCCTGCATAACTTTATCTCACAAGCATTTCTGACTAAATTGTTTTCTTGTACTCACAGTCTGAAACCTCTTCTAGAGTCTCTGAATAAGCTATGCGTCTTTCCAGCCAGTCCAAAAATATTTTGTCAGCAAATAAATAAAATTACATTTAACAGCTATTTTACTTCCTTCTTTAATATTATTGCAAGCCTTTTCTATAATTATTCTTGCCTTTTGGCAGTTGCAGTGCATTAATATTTACAAGATGAGATACAGTTTTCTGTTTATATTAGCAGTCTTCGGTCTGTGAGATCTGGACCAACCAGAATGCAGGATATCCTTTCTCATCGATTCATCAGGTTCATAATGTAAGATACAGTAATAAATGGCTATGTTGTCATTCTTTGGATGTACAGTCTGTTGCCTTGGTGTTATCTACGGGTGTCATGTCGCTGGAATGGTAACAAAAGTTCGTAACTTGTCTGCCCTCCTTGGGGATTATGTGTGCGCACATCCGTGTGTCGTGCCATGTGGTTAGCGTATGTTGGCTGTATGGTGTACACACATACAGGACGTGGGGGCGTTACCAGCAGCAGTCTCGCTCGGGGGGAGCTTTGACTTCTGTTCCTGATGTTTTCGTTCACTCGCTTTTCCAAAGCGGGAAACCGTGTAAACAGCTCGGTTTGCACAGTTTCACCCCCACGGTGTGTTGTGCTGCCCTTTCTGTGTCAGCCCATAGGCTTTGCCCAGCTGAGGTACGCGCTGTGTTTACAGAGTCACCTTTGGGGGAATTAGAGGTAATGCTGATGGTGCCCTGAGTTTTTATCACTTCTGTGACAGTCACAAAGGCTGTGCATGTGATCCTGGTGATCCATATTGCAGTGTGGTAAGGATGACAACCTGTTGTTCAGCAGAGTATTTCAGAGGAGCTGTAGATTTCTCCTGATTTTTGCCATGCCTCCTTGGAACATTTCTGCCAAAGAGGGAACGTTTTGGCTACCAAGCTTTAGAAGTTTTTAAAATCTAAGTACACCATAAACCTGTTCCCATTATTTCAAGAGCCAAAAATATAAAGAGCTTAAAAAATTCCTCCCAGTCTAGGAATTAAAACATAAGGAAACAATGAGGATTTGACTGGTCTGCAGAGCATTTAAAATTTTTACAGGGAGAAAATTATTAATTTTTCAGCCAGAAGTGTTGTATCCATGCGTGCTCCAATTTGTTGTTGTCATGGTGACTAATGCATGTTACCATAACCAGGCATGAAAAAAACAGGTGAAAAGTTATAAGATATGGTTCTTGTTAAAAATAACTACATTCAAACCACTCAAACTCGGACTTTTTTGGTTTTTTCTTCCTTGAAGCATGGAGGGGTTTTAACTTGACATTTTTATAAAAAGACGAGGGAGGTGTTAGATTTTATAAAATTGTACTGAGGTTACTTCTTATCTGTGACTACCTCTGCATCCAGGTGCCTTCAATATGAGTCAAATATGCTTCTCAGAAAATGGGATGAGATAGGAAAATGTGCAACGACTGTAAAAAAACCAAAAATATTTAATAGTTGTGATCTACCTCTGTAGCTCATTTGACATCAAGCATCTGACCCTTTGTAAAGCACATCTGCTGATTTTCAGGGTTAGAAAGCACTGCAAGAGCACAAGATATTGGTCTTTAAGGTTGTCCCTGTAAAAGGATTGAATCCTTACCACTCTGGCACCTGACTTGAGACCATTTTCTGATTATAAATTCTTTATCTGCAAATGTGGAGCAAAAAATATTCTTTTTCAAGTTGGGAGAGGCCAAAGAGAGGAAAGGTGCTGGTTAAAGGCAAGGGGACGTTAGAATACTGAAACACAAGCAATACAGCAAAAACCATGTGATAAATTGCACAGCTGTCTGATGAGCTGTAAAGTTAGATGAGGAATAAATTATCTCTTGCCTTTCTACTTCATCAGAGAGATAAAAATCTCCATCTGTATATTGTGTGATAAAAAATACATAAGCTTAAATGTTTGATTATTTCTTATAATTGCAAATTAAATATTCAAACCAGAAAACCCTTATCCTAGCATATCTATTTTTAAAATATAAATCAAACATTATAGTTGGTCTTGCATGGCAATTTCTGAACATTTCTGTACTGCTTGAAAGTGTATTAGGTGAAGGACCTGAATCTCAATACATCACCCATGAATTGTTCCACATCAATTCCTTGGAGTTAGGACTACTAGTAATTTATATTTTTCTATCCCAGACTTGAGCCTTGTTGTTTCAAGTCTTCTCTAGGTCGAAGATGGTCCTATTTTGTATTTTGCCTGAAGTCAACTGCCATCATGACATCCTAAATCTCAGAATTTCAGAATCTGACTAGACTCAGTCAGCTGAGGAGCTCCCTTTCTTTCTGTTGAGGTTTTTAGACACAGTTTTTTTAATGTATTCAGCTGTCTAAATCTTGTTTAAAAGCTTTTCTTCCCTGAAAAAAAAATCTATACCAGTGATGTTTAATTTTATGCAACTTTTCTTAGTAGCTGCTCCCTCTACAAGACATGCTGAAATACATGAAAGCTCTCCAGGTGCAGTGGTCTGTCGGGAACAGCAGAAATCCTGTATCCCTGCATTCCTCTAACCTCAGCTCTATTGCCTGTTTAGAACATCCTAGAGAAAAGTATGGAAATCTTGGCAATTCGGTTTTGTCTAATTTAAAAGGAGTGGGTACTAGGATGATTATAGAGCAATTAATGGATACAAACAAGTGGTCTCCACACAGTGCCTCTCCAAGTGTCTCATACACTAGTTTTATTAGCCTAGTTGAAGATTATTTCTCATTTCCTCGTGATTATTTTTTCCTTTATAAAATTGAACCAAAACAAGAGGTTATCACTGTTCCTCTTTTACTGCCCTTTTATTAACCGACAGAAGAAATGCATTTCTCCATGCTTTCCATACTATCTGTGCAAAAGGGAGACAAACTGTAGAATTATGTACTCATTTTATTCCTTACTTACTCCTTACTCCCTGCTTAATTTGTCCATACTGTCCCTTTTCTGCATGTGGGGAAGCCACCTGCTGAGCAGTGCAACAGGAGGGTTCGGAGCGCTACCCGCTGTCACTTGTTCAGTAGAACATGGCACAGCCATCCCCGTGCTTCCTTAGTGAAGAGACCAGTGGTCAAAAGATGTACTTTTGTAGCTTTTCTGTCCTAAATTTACTCGTGTTCCATCATAGTAGCCTTTTGCTAAATGGATAGGATCTATCTCCCAAGCAGAATATACCACCTAAGGAGTCTTTCTGCTGTGCCTTTTGCAAACAGACACGTCTATCTGGTATTGGCCTTATTAGCCACCAGCGTACTTGTAACAAATGTGGATAGAGCCTTTCCCAGATCTTCGTTTGTGAAACCTAGCCATGATGACCTCCCAAGCTCTGCTTCCTTACACAGAACATGCAGGAGTGTATCTTTATTAGGGAAAAAAAAAAAGGACTATTTCAAGTGGTCTGTTAGCTGTGGCCTTGAACAGTTCATAAGAGACAGCCGAGCACGCTGTGAGGATTTGTGAAGGGTGCAATCCATCTTCTCTTGTTGTCAAAGACAGACTCCACTAATAACAAGGATGCAGATCCTTGCCCATTGTAATATGATGGAAACCTTATTTTATAAGGAGAACTGCTTCTTAAAGAAATCAACCTCCCACTTCAGATTAAATATGATAGAAGGTTTTTGTACATGCAAAAAATTGGAGCAATTGCTTCTGCTGCTTTCTTTTCAAAATCTAAGGCTGAAGTCATACCCATGGCATATAGGCAACTTAACTGGGCAAGACAGAAATTACACTACTGTGTAATTGGTAGATGTGCTAATGGTGTAAACAGTAACTAGGTTCAACTTGCTTGACGTTACCATATTGGCAGGGTAATGTTGATGTTTCTAGATTTATCTATTGCTTTTCATTGCAGAGCTGTGCAAATGCGTGTCATTTTGTTATTTTGTGACACATGAAAATGATGTACTTGTTTTGTTTACTCTGTCCTGATTTAATTAGTAAGATGTGATAGTTTGCCAGACTTTGAATGCCTTCGGTAAGATTTTTTTCGTGTGTTTTTGATGCATAACTTCTTTTTGCTATAAAAGTGTGAGCTTCCAGCCATATTCTATGTGAAATACTGATGATAATTCCTTGCCTTCTTCAATACATATTTTAACAATATGACATGGATAGAAAATATGCAGAGATAAGTGCAGGTAAAGAAAGTAGTAGTGTAACCCAAATTGAAATAATCATATAGGAAAGCATTAAATAGTTTGAGAGAAAATGAGCAGGGGAAGAAGGAGAATCAGGAAGGAGAAATGTAGCTGCAAAAAGACAGAGTGGGAAGAAGAGGGCAATTCAGAGGTAGTCCAGACAGGACAGAATAGGATAGAAGTGGGACTGGTGGCAGAGGGAAGAGGGGTTGGGAAGAGGAGAAAGAGTCCATTCACGGGTCATTTTCAGTTAAAGTGAGCCGATGCTTTGGCAGCATCCCTGGTGTTGAGGATGTGGGCACATGTGAACGAAAAGTAGGAGAGATCACAGTTAAAAGCTTAATAGTCTCAGAATAATAATTATTTTTTACATGGGCTTGCAAGATAGAAGGAGCCCCTATAATAGTAAAGCCATGACTAAAAACACAATGGCAGGTGAGACCCAGACCAGCACTACCAGGCTGGGGACATACCTGTACTGACGCCTCCATTGGCTCTATTGGAAGGGAGAAGAGTGTGCTGCAAAGGGATTTGGCAGCAAACTGCAGTCTTACCTGTGTTCTCTGAGGGCTTTGAGGAAAGAGAGGAGATGACAGCTCAGGAAGGCAATCACCTGTATCAGTGAGAATCATGAATGTGGAAGGGCAATGTTACTACCTCCACAATGAGGCATCAAGAGGTGGTGATCAAAGTAAATATTCATAAAGAGATTAAAGAATGCCTCGTATTTTTGAAGAACATATAATAAGTCTTCAAAGCAAAGTCTCAGTTATTGAGCCATCTAGGAAAGTTAATTATCAGTTATATGTGCCGGATAATGGAAGACTTATTAACTGTGCAGAAAAGCTTGTAAAACACATAGCAGAATTTGTGAAAGGCATTTTCGTGCATATCATGATTTTTTTCAAGTGCTCTCATCCTCATATATGTATTGTAAACACTTATTTTTAAGGAACATTTCCGGTGCCTAATGATTTTATTCTCAAAGCAAATAGACTTAATTAAAGCCTCATTAAACACTACAGTAGATGATTTTGGATTATAAATTAAATCATGAAAAATATTGTAGCAGTTGTGTTCCCTTATTTTAGTAACATGGCTCTATGCGTAGAAAATAAATTCTTGTTAATTGAGCACAACAGTGGAGGTCTATTTTGTAGCTAATTTGCCTGCACATACTCTGATATCTTGAACAACTGTGATTTTCAGACAGGAGACTGGGGAGAGCCTTCAATTACCTTGCGACCTCCAAATGAAGCCACGGCATCAACGCCTGTACAATATTGGCAACATCATCCAGAGAAACTCATCTTCCAGTCATGTGATTATAAAGCATTTGTAAGTGTTGATAAATTTTAGTGGTTTGATTTGGGGTAGATATGTTAATCTTGGATTTTGATAGGCTGTTGTGTTTTACTTCCATTCATAATATTTTTTCAGTCACTTTTAGTGAGACAGGCCACTTTTTCTGAAAAACTCTAATTGTAATAAATGAGAAACAAGGATGCACAGTACTTTTTGCTATGAATTTTGTGATATATTGCAGTCCATGTAGCAATAATGTTAGAGAGTGGACACTGAGTAAGTGGTGAAGTGTAGAAGTGACAGTGAGAGCAAACATCCCTACTTCTCATCTGTCACAAATCCCTGTCTAGTAGTTATGGAAGAATAATAAAGCGTAATATGGGATCCTCACGCCTACCTCAATGCTGTGTTCAGAGTAGTTAAATTAAGTGTTGCCTTGCCTGAATTTTATCGATTTGGTTTTGGGGAAGGGAGATAGGGAAGATGGAGATCAGGATCCTGAAGCAGTGTTTTCCATCTCTGGGACAAGAACACATTCAGCCCCCTGCCATACTGTTGGCTGCTTGAAGTACCAGTAGCAGTCAGTTCCATCAGGGCAGGGCATGTTTATTTTTACCCCCCTCTAGCTGCAGCTGATTACCACTTCCCATCCCTGGAGAAACAGAGCTTCCTTCTACAGCTAAAGACAATTAGTGCTTTATGTCTGTTATAAATGCATGTGGAGGAGAGAAAGGTCTCCTGCAGCACAGAAAGTAATTTTTTTTTTTTTAGTTAAAAACTGAAATCTTGAGTTCCCTGGGCGGGAAGACTGGAGCTTCTGGGGATCTGAAGAGGTGCCTCAGCTCACCTCTTTAAATGCTAACATTTCCCCCTCCAACTTTGCTGAAAAGCGTTGTTAAAGTTGCTGAAGGGGCTTGCCAGACCACTGTGTGTCCTCTTTGGAGGTGGCCCTAATGAAGTATGGCTGACCTACTGTACAAAGGAAAGGGGCTCAGTAGTTGCAGTGCCTTTAACATAATAGCTAAGGGTTAACCCCCGGTCCAGGACGTGGTGTTGAGATCCTCTTCACTTGAAGGGGCTAAGATCTCTAGTGCTTTTTAGGATAATGCTGTGTTTATCAAATACAGCTGTATTTTGGGGGAGAGTTGGAGGCTGCTGCACCTCTTTTAAAGCATATCTGGAAAGGTAGGAATTAGAGACTAAACACAGGTGAGACAGAGCCTGGCTCTCACTGAGTGAGGGCAGAAGGGGTGTTCCAGGCCTGTCTCACTGGAGTACATCTGTATCTTCCATCAGACCTTCATTGGGTAGAAATTGCCATGAATGTAGTGACTGTCCTTGGACAGTAACTAGAACCTCTGCCTTCCTCAGCAAGTCAAGGTCAAAGACCAGCTCACCTACTATTCAAAACCTCCTTGCTCACCTCAAATTGAAAAGGAAGCTTCTAGTTCTTTAAATATTTTTCCTAGTTTTCAATAAAGTGAGCATGAGTGCCTTTTATCTTATTGCATGATCCAGCACGTCACCCTTGTAATAGATTGGAAGGCATATGGATCATTAAAGAAATGAAGTTGAAATGACCATGAATATCTAAGTTACTGGTGATTAAGGAAACACCTTCCTTTCCAAAGGACCATGCATCACTGCTTTGTTTCAGCTCGCTGAGCTGTATTGACCTGATCCTTACAGAGTAAAACCCTGGCTTGTAAGTTATAATGGGTGCAGCTTTCACTGTATGCCACATCCCTCAGTTAAACTGTTGGATGTTCTCTGCATTGCTCCCGTGTGCTCTCAGTATTTGAGAAGGAACATTTCCAAAAGCACAGCAAGTCAAAGGGAAGCAATATTCCCTCCTAGAGTTTCAGATTTTTCTGACAACTAAATTGGACGGTACCTCTGTGATTTGTTTGTCTATTCCACAGTCCTTCCTGGGAAGCATTTCTGAATGCCTTCAACTGAGACTTTTTGCTGCTGTGCAGATGGGACAGGAGCTGCCCACCTCTTCTCTTTCTTCCTCTTGTTCTGTTGTGAGCTCAAAGCACTGATTTTTTTACCGTGGTGCCTGACAAACTGGTATCTTTCAAGGAAAAAATAATTTGTTGTACTGTAGTCCATAAAAAAATAAGAAAATTTAAAAATATTGAAGAAATTAATTGCAACCTGCACAGGATGCCGAAAGTGTCAGACAGCAGGATCCAGAAAAGAATACAGTTTAACTCAATACACTTTTAATTTTCTAATTTTTGAGTTTGCTTTACATTTATTGTTTTTCTTCAAGGGCAATATCAAGCTGTCCCACCGAATTAATGCCCAAAGCCCTATTCACGTCACCATCGAGCCCCCAGCTGGACTCACAGCTGCTCAGTTTATGAATCTTTTACATCTGCAGTCCTCCAAGAATGCCCTTCATTCATTCCTTTCTGTATGTGCTTGTCTGGTAGTGTTGGTGTTGCTCACTGTTCCATCTATAATGCCCTATAAAGTGTTTCTCACTAATTGACATGTTGGCTACTGTCTACATTGAAATATTTATGCATTTTCTTGCAGGTCAGAGACTCCTGCAGTACACAGTGCGAAGTGAAGGCTTTAAAGAAAATATCTCAGTTTAGGTCAGGAGACCAGAGAATTGAACCAGTACATTCTCTGTTCAGTTCCAGCTTGTGTTCAGCTGTAACTGAAGTTCTTTTTGATAGGTTCTTGTCTAAGCTGAAGCTGGTTCACTAACTGGTTGGGTCAGTTTAGGCTGTTTCCAAGGGGAGTCAGTGTGGTAGAATGAAAAAGGTCAGGCAGTGGTGATGGTCTGCAGCATCCTCTGGGAAAAGGCTCCTGCCCACAGTGGCTTCTCTTCAGCTCCTGTGTTGCCTCACTTAGGACTGGAGACTTGGGAGAAGCCATGACCTTGTGCTGCAGTGAGGATACAGAGAGACATCTCTGTGCCTGGGGAGGAGCAGGTGAGGAGTGACTTGCTGTCCTCCTCAGTTAAGCCCAACTTGCATGTGACATCATACAGAGACACAGAAACATCCCGTTTGCACCATCCAAACGTGGCATAGAGGAGTACTGAGACCCCAGAGGAACAAATCCAGAGGAGCAGAACCTGCTGCCAGGGTGCAGGAGGACTCAAACTGCATGTACCAGCAAGTGACAAAGTGAGGGAAAGGCCTGTAGGAAGGGACCTGTTTTGGTGAGGCACTCACTGCCCTCGGAGAGGAGCAGGCTCCTCTGAGGGCATGGAGGCTTTCAGTGAGCTGAGCCAGGACACAGCACCCTTCTGCTTCCTCTCACCCAGCCCTCCTCCAGATCAGTAAAGGCTTTAAAATAATAGTTCAGGGTCAGCCTTTCCTTAGGAAGAAATAATGGTCTAAGCTAGTCTTAGTACAGATTTATTTTCTCTGTTTGCTGACGTCGGGCTCTGCTATTTGCGCGTAAATTAGTTACAGATTGAGTTCGGTGAGGTTAAGATTGCTGCTGCCCTTCACATCCACGTGATTGCACACATAACAATAGGAGATCAGCAGATGGCAGCTAAAAAAAGAGATTCTCCATTTTTTAATCAAATGGCTTTTTTTAAGATGGATTCTGTAGTACTTCCTCATTGTTTGAGTGACTAAAGCTAGGAGACTTTCAGATATTGTTTCAAAAGACACGAGCTGATTCAATACACTTGTTGCTGTGCATTCTTGTTTTGTAGGTTGATTAATGCATTGGTTTAAATGATTTATCAAAGAACTGCAGAGTAAAGAAACTCTAAAGTAATATATTAAGTTGACTGCTACAAGTAGGCTTTTTAAAGCATTTTTAGTGCATTTCTGCAGATGTTTGTCTGTTCTGGAATTTGAGTTAAAGTTCAATGGATTTTTGTTTTAGTATTTAGGTTCTATGCTGGTAAAAGAGTTAAGAGGCACAGAGTCAACACAGGATGCGTGTGCAAAGATGAGGGTAAGTTTGTAAACCTACTTCTTTCTGTATCATAATAGTATTAAATAACATCAATCTGTGGTTGGTTGTACTGTGCCCTTTTTACTTTTATAACGTGCTGTTACCCATTTCTTTTCCTTGCATTTACAGTGGTATTCAATAGGAAATCTGTTCTGCATTACATCTTAATTTCATACTATGAAAATTTAAAGGTAGATTTTTCTTTTGCATGTGGTATCTAACAAAAAAACCCAAATGTATGCATTTTGTTTTCTTGTGAATCTTTCAGTATGTTTCAAAGTACTGTCCACACACTTTAAACGTGTCCATACCAAATTGATTTTATAAACAGAATTTATAGCTTTTATATGATAATCTAAATTTAATTTTCTATGTGAAAATATGTACTAATAAATATATTAACATGTTATCAAAGCTTTTTTTTATGCATGGTAAATCCAACAGTCACATAATCCTATGGATGCTTTTAGTCATATGAGTGTTTCCATTAAATATGAGTTACTTACATGCTTTTTGATTGAAGGGTAAAATGGGATCTAAGTCAGTCTCACCTGATGGTGGAAAAGCAGTTAGGTTTCCTTCAGACTGTTAAGAATATGTTTTCCCATGGCTCTTTGTCCTGATACTGGTTTGTAGAAAATTGCAACAAGGCTCGGTCTATCTCCAAGAAACATACCACTGCTGGAAACTCAAAACAAGCCATGACCTGATTTATTCCCAACTGTAGTTGTAATAAGAATGAACTGGTTCATAGCCATGGTGAACATATCATGGTCTGGCATGATTAATTAATGAAGAATGTAATTGTTTGCTAATCTACCAAACGTGTACAATTACACAGATGAATGAGCTAAAGTTTTTCTTCTGTGTATCGTAAGTTTTGTATGCAAGATGCCTCTGAGCATGAGACGTGGCATTCAGATCAGTTAGAAAGCTGGAAGATGTGTAAAATTCATGCAATTGGACAACCATTTCCTACTGGTTACATATCTGCAGCACACAGACTTTTATACAAGCTGTTTTAGCTAAGGGCTTGCAGTAATTCATGCTTACTAGATTGCCTAAAGACCTGAGGCTTTTCAGATAATTACATGCAAATCATTCCGTACCTGGACTTAAACTCTTCTAAAAAAAACCCAACAACTTGACACAGGGGGATCTACAATCAAATATACTTGTTCTGGGGAATTAATTGAGGCTGCAAGCGTACCATCTTCCAATCCAGTTTTCAAACTGTCAGGCTTAGCAGTTCTATTTTTTAGGCATATGCCTGCACAGATCTTAGGGCAGAATTTGACACCATAGTAGCATGTGACAACTTCAGTAAGTTTTCTGACTGAACTAGGAAGCTTAACATCAAAAAAGGCACTCTAAATAATTTATAGGTCTTTTAAGATATATTTTTATGAGTAATAAGTTTGACCAATTTAAATTATATAACTGAAAGAACTAAGTGTTTGAAAGCAAATTTAATTTAAAATACAAATTTTCTATAAAAATAGTGGAGTTGCACTAGTTGTCTATAGTGCTGTACAGGGCACTTATATAGCACAGTGACGGGGTTAGTGTACATTTATTTTTTACATTCTCTTTTGAAATCATTGTGCTGTGAGAATGTTTATTTTTTAGTCTGAGGTTTTTTATTGCAAAGATATTTGAATAAAACAGTTTTTAATCAAGATTTCATCTATTCTTTCTATGTAGTCCTTTTAATCATGTTCCTATTCAAGTCAAAAGCAAAAAACTTTGACTTAATGGGAACAGATTATTATTTTAGCCTATTTCGCAGTGAGAAAAATGGATCTTTTTCCAAAACTTTTTCCCTATGGTTGTGTTCTGAAAGTTGGTGTCTGTGAACTTGGAGTCCAGGTTGTCCAAAGTCATCCTGAAATGTTGCATTTTGCTGTGATGATCATTATTGTATTTAAGTACCACTGGGTTGTCATCAAAAATGCGGCTTCTGATATAGTTACATTTTACTTTAAATGTATTGAAAGGGACATTTCACTTAAAAAAAAAAGAACTTAAAAGCTAGATATATTAGTTGCTGACTCTGAGGTACTGAATTCTGTACACTTGTCCAGTGTCTCTAAAGTCAGTAAGATTTTTACATAGGGTTGTACTTTTGTGATAGAGCAATATTTTTTAATTTTAGTATTTTATTTGTATTTCCATGTCCATATTTCAAATCTGTAGCATGCTGCAATCTGAAACACGCTGGGGGAGGGGAGTATGTCACTCGTAACCTTGTACCATGTTGAGGTCACTCCCTACAATTTTTTTGTCTTTCTAGACTCAGCCACATAATGGTTTAATGGAGAATGTATGAAAATTAGGTACCTAATTTTTCTGTCAGAGTGGCTTTAGATTCTCCATCTTTAAGCTAATGCTGCTCAAAAGTGTCGATATTCACTTAATGTCTTCCAGTCAGCAGATGCACAAGAGTGAAAGAAGTGTATCAGTGAAAAAAAAAATCTTGATCTTCCTTAATCATTCATAAATACAGAGAAACAACAAAAATGACATGTTTTCTGACTGCAGATCCCTCACTGTTAGTTGTAGATGCTCCCAGGGCTTTCAGTTATTGCAATTGATGGTTTTGGTTCTCAAGGGAAGTGTCATGCAGTTATCCCTTCTCTCTCTCCACAGGGAGGTTTACAGTGGCCTCCTTCTCTTATAGCTCAAGAGTGAAGGGAGATCCTAAATCTTTTATAATGTAAAAAACCACCAATAATAGTAAAAAACAAAAACAAAACCTGGGAACCTTTGTTTTAATAACTCTTCTTGGCAATCCACTGTGCTTCTGGGCATTGTGCAGCAACGTGCTCCAGCAGGGCAGATGATGGATTTGTTTGGGGAAAATCATGCAGGTGCAATAACTTGAGCTCAACATTAGGGTCAAGGTTATACATGGGGGTTTTTTTCCCCCCCAAAATTGCAGATTCTTGTAGCCATTCAAAATTATGGATATTTGGCATAAAAAGTGTTTTTCCATTCGTATATTTGCACTCCTTTATATTTTATTCAGCTATTTTTTCTCACAAACTGCCTTTGCAGTTGACAGTCCTGTCTCCTTATCTCCATTCTTCACCTGCTCTAAACTGACCTTTGGTACTTGGAGATTAAATCTTGCTGTCCTGGCCAGAATAGGTTTATTAATTATATTTGAGAGATGCCTTCAAGAAGTTAAGAGCTTTCATCTTTCCCAGTGTGGAATAGGAAATACTGCAAGTTGCATTTTCAATCAGATTGATGCCTTCACTTTAAATCATCATAGGAAAATGAAGGGAGAATATAATGTGTTTGCATCAAAATAAAGACAAGGAATAAAGTTAAATTTGAGCTAGGAAGGAACTTGTTCTCTACAGAAGACTCCATCTGGCATTTACACATCTGAATTCCTTGACCATGTAGGAAGGGGATGGTTTTATACTTACTACCATGAGCACAGCACCAAGGATGACTCTCTCCTTGCAGCAGTGTTAAATCACTGATGTTGCATACACTAACTGCACACTCTGAACTTATCAGATATTTACTGCAGCAGAAGGGAACTTAGATTTTGTTCTTGGATCCTGCCACTTTCCTGAATATTATGTATCTTTCTTATTTATTTTGTTGTTAGAAAAGAGGTTCTAAAATTCAAGTCAAAGTTCTGAGGAACCAGCAATATAGTTCTGTTCACAAAGCAGGTATTTAAATGTCTCACTGACTTAAGACCAAAATGTCAAAGTTGGAATTGTTACAAAATCTGCTTCTCTTTTGCTCTGGGAGAGGAAGATGAAGCAGAGTTGACTCGCTGAAAATAGGCAGCATCTGGGGCATTTTTCTCATTTCATTTCTTCTTACATAAAGAAGAAGGACGTGAATTTAGATGGCAGTCTCCTTGTTTCTACCAAACCCTTTCTACTTTTCGATCTCCATTTCATTCCCTCGCCCCCAAAATAGAAGTGCAGAAGCCTCCATAGGCCTCCTAGTGAAACTAACCAAGCAAATAAATGTTGGGATCAAACACTGTATTTGACAATTCAGATTCTTCAGTCTCTGGACTCTTGGGACTTGTAGCTCTCTCTCTCTCTCGTGTGGCCACTGCTTTGGGAGGGCCTGCAGTAGAAAAGGCACATGGATATTAATCAAAAGGAAAAAATAAGTGGTGGAAGGTCTTCAGTCCCTATGCACATCCACATCATGCTGCACCATGTTCTTCAGAGGATTTTATGTCCTTGAACTCTGTAGCTGAAAGGAATCTAAGGTGCAGGAGGGATGCAGAGGAGTGTTTAGAGATACTGCAAAAGCAAAAAACCATCTCACTCTCAAGTACATGAGTTCCAGGTGCACCCCCAGTGCAGTGTTCATATTAATGATGTAGCTTGGAGGCATCCACTAATTGTAGAGAGGTAAACAGTCTTGTACCACAAGGATTACAGATGCAGTCTTATTCCAAGAGGTGTTAAACTATGTCAGTAATGCATTTTTAAGCCTTTTGGACTGAGAGAAGTTACTAAATATTTGTTACAAGGCAGACTTTAGTTTCAAAATTGGCTTCGAAACTAACTGTTCAATTGTGGACTTTGACTTTTTATTTCCATTTAATCTCATGCATGATCTTGTCAAAGCAATTCATTGCTCTTCCACAGCTAGTCGAAGGAGGTGATTGTCTCACTATGCTCTGCACTGGTGCGGCCTCACCTTGAATATTGTGACAGTTTTTGGGCTTCATAAACCTTAAATAAGTAGCAGACTTATTTATGCAGGTATGATAGTAGGTGGCACTAATACATATTTTGAAATGTGCAGTCTGATGCCATTTGGACTTAATAGTTGGACTTAATAGGTTTAGGAAAAAGTTCAGAATCTTTTAGTGAATTGGTTTCCAGTGCAGAATTGAATAGGAAAATTGCCAGCTACAATGTTCATATAGCTATTAAAAACCAGTGTAGGACTGAACTAGCAGATTCATTTGCAAAAGTAGAAAGCCAAGATGAAAATTTAAGATTTTACAGGCTCATAAACTTGTACTCAAAATTTACTTATGTATGGGGTTGTTAGTGACTTGTCATAGTTGAATAATGTTTTTTTTCTGTGTATTTGCAAGATCAAGTATAATTACATACGCAGTAAAACCTAAAAAACATGATTTCATTTTAGCTGCTGTATGAAATCTGAATAATCCAGTTATAAATGTGTGTATACGTACATTGAAGTGGTCAACATGGCAAAGTAGAAGTACCAATGTATCCCATTTCCTCTTGGCAGGTAATAAATAAATGAGATGAAAGCGTTTTCAGAATGGGCTGGATTACAGCATATGCTATGTTTTATCAAGTGAATGTGTGAGCATCTTACATGGACACCATTCTGTGTGTGTTTCTGAATTTCTTATTCAGCTGCTTTGTGTGTGTGTGCTCAGAGGTACCATGTTTTGTACACTGCAGGAATATTCAAAGGTGTTGCATTAGTACTCTCAGTTCTGCACAGAACAAGGTACTGTGGTACAATCCTGTCCTGAAAAGGTTAAAAGCCCTTCAGAGTTAGAGGTTTTGTATTTGCTTTTTAAAAATAAACTGCTAGTTTATATTACTTTATTCAAAGAACGAATTCCTCTGCCTCTTAAGCCATTGTTAATTACCTTGATTTGTTAGGCACACTGGCAGGGTGGATCTCAAATTATTTGGATTAGTTTATATTCAAAATAATTGTCTAGCAGTTCTGCACAGCCTTTAATGCAAAATCAATATACAGATGGAAATGCTTTACCCACTTAAGACAATTTGTAGTACTACTATACTATGGAAATGTGTTTAGAGGCTGGATGTGAGAATGGTATTTTTTTCTGTGAAACTAAAGAAAATTCATAAATTATGAAAAGCAAGCTTGCACTGACTCGCTTCCTCTCTGGCACCACTGCTCTTGCATCCCCTTATGACCCATTCAAAAGGAGGAATTGGGAGCAGCCCTGTCCAAGCCTATGCAGGCTTTTGGCACTGTCCTATGTAATGGCTGCAGAGCGTTCAGATGCAAACTCTGAGTCATAAATTCAGACCTTTTTTGTACAAGCAATCACTGTACTAACCAAGCAGTTATGCAGATGGTGCCTTCCACCTCCTTCCACTGGAGTCATCTCCACTGTGGGTGCTGAGGGGATGAAACAGCTTCATTGCAGCAGCTGCACCAAAATCCAGATGAGACCACTATTCCTGATATTTTTTATTCTAAAGAGGAAGAGGCTCTATGTCTTTTGGGGGAGGTCTGGCGAAGCTGCACATATATCACATTAGATTTAGGATGGTGATGCTTTCTTCTGTCTTCCTCTGTCTGCAGACAAGCCTGCTTTATGATTCTTGAATTATACATGACCTGCTTTCACATAGTCACCTACCTGTCCAGCATGAAGTATTTCAGAGGTGGGACCAAAGCTCAGTCTCTCTGGCATTGCAGACTGTGCAGCATTGAGACTTCTGGCTGCAGGAACAGTGCACCTGTGGAGACAGGGCATGCACATCTGTCTTTAGGTAGATGACCAGCTGATCAGTGACAGGCACTGGCAAGGAGCCTAGAATAGACTTGCTGTTCATCCAGGTGATTCCCCTGAAGAAGTGTATTGAAACAAAGAGCCAAAGTTGCAGTCACAAACAATGGAGTTCATAGGAACTATGACCAGTTCCAGGCTAGTGAGCACTTGCCCAAAGACAGTCACTATGATTGCTTCTATATGAGATGAAATATAATCCTACTTCTCTGGTATGAACACGCCTTGGAGCATTAGACCATATGTCAGCATGCACATGACATGCAATGCCAGCCCTCAGCTGTGACTCCTATAACTTTGGCTCAAGTCCATCTGCTTCCCATAGAGACACCAGATGGACAAGAATATTTTGCCATCTCATTGTGTCCTTGTGAAGTTGACACGGTGGCTAGAACCTGAAAAGCCCAAGGAAAGAGAATACTGACTCCTGTGTCCCACCTTCTTCTCAGGTTCTGGGCACAGGCAGAGATGCCCACTTGGCCTTCACAGAGATGTGAAATGTCTGACCAAGAAAGCTGTAGGACTTCATCCTAGAATTCAGAGCCAAAGCACTTACAGTGCCTGAGTGAATGATATTCATACTGTATCTCTGAAAACTAACGTTACACATTCTGGCAGACACCTGCTCCATTAAAAAGAAAGGAACAGCAAGCAAATAGTATGAGCTCACCATGACAACTCGAAACTGTTGAAGCCTGGAAACTGCTTGGAAATAATAATTATGTGGTGGACTTTAGTTACTGTATCACTGAGAGTTGAGCAGGGGAATAGAGCTGTGTGTTTTTCTTGATGGCACTGTCATAATAACAAAGGATGTTATTCCACTGCCCAACTCTTTGTTGCAATGGGAGTACCAGTGCAGAGTTGTTTCCCAAAATCATAATTCTACACTGGACTACAGTCTTACAGAACACCTTTACACAAGTCCTGGGGGTTTTATGCTTTACAAGGTGATGAGGAATATCCCCTGCTCCTTACCAGCTGAGACAGTTTGGCCTAATAAATTACAAATGTCCATCAGTCTGATTCATTTCCTAATTTGCCAACTGTAATTGAATAGCTCTTGATGAGCTGTTTCACTGAGATACAGTCTTCTGGCAGTTCACAACCTCAGTTAAATACTAGAGGTCAGGTCTGGTCTAGACAAATCCAGGTGGATGTGGAGCAGATAAGGAAGATGATTAAATTACAAACTACTGTCTAGAGGAAAGAGGACACCCAGATAGTTGGTACAGCATGGCCTTGCCAACAGGAAGCTTCACCTTTATGACAAATACCAGACAGGGAGAATTAGACCAAAAAGCTAAAATATGTGAACTTAGTAGCCATGTTTGTACAGCACGTTGACGGAGAAGGGGAATTTTGCTGCTAAGGAGGCAAGGAAGGACGTAATTACAATAATCAAAATGGGAGACAAAAAGCTCTTGCATGTAGCTGTCAGGCTAGAACAAAAGGACAAAAGTTGGATGATTGGTGGGTTGCCAGATGATTAAAGTGATATTGTCATATTTGTGACTATTTTGTCTAGTATAAGCGTGTGTGGGGTTTATTGCTTGTTATTCTGATAGATGTATCCACTGCAGCTTCTGTACAGGCACTCTCATGCTTTCTGTGCATTGAAGGTGAATTTTATGAAAAGGTTTATTTGAGATCTATTACAGTGACACACACACATATGCACAGGTAGGTACTTGCTCTGCTTTTGGCAGGGATGCCGTTTCTTTCTCCACTCAGTTCAGAGACATGCAAATCAGATTAATGTCTTTTTTCAGATTTTGTTAAAATTCTTCAGGTTGTTTTACCATTTAAGCTGTCATTTTTTAGAAGTGCCTAGAATTCTGAGTGAAAGGAGCTTTCTCTGGGATAAACTGACACTTGATTGTTGTCTCAAGTCTCTTGTCATTTGATATGGAGAGATGCAACAATCCTCTCTATTACACGGATGGGCAGGGCTCTCCTTGGAACCTTAATTAGAGGTTTTAGTCTTCGTGGAATGGACATTAATTGCAGAATGTAGCTGGATCTGCAGCTTTGAATTTTATGCTGGCAAAAATGGAGTCTAATTTGATTCTGTAAGGATTGAGAGCTGATAAGGAGACTTGATTACAGGATTTTGGTTGGTTTTGTTGGGGGTTGTTTTGTTTGTTTGAAGCTTTTGTTTTGCTCTCTAGTGTTAGCATCACCTATTTTTTTAAAACATATTTTCTTCAGTTACAGTCTGTGTTTTTAAGCTTATAACTATACTTGTTTATTTGTCTTGGATAATACAAAACCACCACTGCTACTTTTGTTTAGCAGCTCTAATGATCTTCCTAGGTGCCAATTCTAGATCTTTCAGCATGTTTACACTTTCCTTCTGTGTGCTGATGCTTCTTCATATTTACCTGTAGCTGAACTTACTCTTTCCTCTCAAGAAAATATTTGATTGATCTCTGTGATTGTTTGCAGATGCTCCCATGAATAAGCATTCTCTGAATGTTATCTAACTTATTTATCTACAATAGTTCTGTATAGAATAGTCCATCGTTGTCTTCAACCTTAAAAGAATTCAAATCAGCTATAGACTATTATGCCATATTTAGTTTTTTCTTTGGTTGGTTTTGGGGTTGTTTTAGTAAATTTAATTTGTAAACAACATTTTTTTCTTCAGAGAATTTAAATCTGATGCAGATATTTGCCCGATCTGTTCAGCAGGAAATATCTTTGCTATGTGCATCATATTGAAGGCACACAGAAGTAGACTAGCATAAAAGAAAAAACAATCTTATTGGAAGGCATGAACTGTAGGTAGGAGAACCTGGCACTGAGGGAATGCAGAATAACCCTCCATGCTAATTCATGTGTAAAGCAGCTTCCAGTAGCAGCTGCACTCCAAGTGCAGACGGTCAGACGTGACAAGATACAGCGTTGGGCTGATGGATTGACTGGCAGGCCTAGAGGGTTGCAGGGATAGTTCATGTCACAAATACAACTACAAGAAGGCAAAAGAGTGAAATATTTCTAAATAACAACTAATTACAGGAAAGAAACGGTACTATGAGAGGTACCGTGCTGTTGGTGTTTACAGCTGGGAAGGGCAGGAGGAGGGGAGGGAGCGATGGATGGGGCATGTCAGGTAGATGTCTTAACCACACACATTTTGAGAAATGCTGGTTGCATGACTGCTCTTTCTAAGCCTGGCAAAGTTACTTTATTCTCTTCTCATTGTGTTAGGAAAAAGGAGAACTTTTATTAGTTTTGTAACTGCAAGGCAGATATTTCAAAAGCCCAGAGCGTAGTCAGCTGAAGAAATAGTAAAATATTTGTTTAACTTAGGTATTTTATCAGAAGAAAAGAGCACTGTTCTTGCAATGCAACACAAGTCTAATAACATCTTCATTTTGATTTCAGAAGTCTACAGAACAAATGAAAAAAGTACCAACCATTGTCCTGTCTGTTTCTTACAAAGGAGTCAAATTTATTGATGCCACAAATAAGGTATGTGCAATTATTCAATACTAGCTTTTATTTTTCACAACTAGGAAAAATAGTAATACCTATGAGGTCCAGGCCAGAAAGGGGACAGATTTGCCCTTTGCATTTTCCTCTCCTTTTTTTCACCTCTTCTCTCCAAAATGGATGTAATGTCATTGCCATTCTTCAGAAACTCAGTCTGGAGGACAAGTGCAGCAGTTTTAATGGCTTATTTGGAGAACATTGTGTCTAGTGTTCTTCCATTAAAAGGCAAGCTTATCACAAAAGACATTTGGCAGGGAGCCTCTGTGGAATCCTTTATATTTATTTATTTATTTGTTCATTAATATAATTTGGGCAAATAATTAAAAAAAGTCTCACTGAAATAAAGATACATGGTTTTATCCAGGGCCAGCCATTTTAAGAATAAGAAACACGAGACTTCAATGTCCTTTGAAAAATGCTAGAGGCTCTCTGTGAGCTGTTTTCCTGGCACTAGCCACTTAACTCCCTGAACTGCAACAGTTTCTTAGCAGTTGTTATTCCATATTTTTTTCATCTTCCTGTGTGGCAATGCTCCTGTGCTTTGTTTCTTATGTTTTAAAATATATCCAAAATCTTAAAACAAAAAAAAAAACCTAACTAACCAAAAACACAAAAGCAGAAATTGAGAGGTCAGAGAACTCAGTGATGGATAGAGCAATGGATTAATGCTTAGCCAAAGTAAAATGTACAGGCTCTGTAAGGAGAAGTAAAGTAATGCATGAATTTCTCTTCTTTGGATGCCTAAAGTGGCAAAAAAATGCAATCCATACTGATGCTTTCATATGAATAGAAAATAAATTATCTTTTCTGTTATGTGACTAAAATTCACTGAGCAATATAAAAAATAAATCTGACAACCCAACTACTTGACTAGGTTAATAATGTATAGAGTGGCTTTGTGTTGCTGAACATTCAGACCACACAGTACATCTAACCCAGTATCCATCAAACTTGCCAAATGAATCAGGTTTTTAAAGCTGTTTAACTAGAACTGGGTTTTAAGTGAAGGATGGAAGCAGATTTGTGAACTTCTGCTAGAGTTTGGAAACCATATTTAGAGTTAGAAGACAGCATAAAAGAAAAAGTGAGGTGAAATTACTGTTATGTCAGGTCTGGCGTTTGCCAGAGCAGAGAGGCCAGGGATTCCTGTCAGCTCCTTTTTCTTCCACTGATTCAGAAATGAGCTTCTACAACCCTCATTTCCTTTATGTTCTCTGATGTGCAGGGCATAAATCAGGACATTGTAATGCTATTAACTCTAACTTGGATAATGCTGTTTTCAGCTCTTAAATCTCTTCCGTAGCATAAGGGATGTAACTGCAATGTCCTTAGGTTTACCAAAAAAAATCAGGAGAACAAAAGGAGCTTCCCGTGTCTCTTTGTACAGTGCATAGAATCTTACTTAAGATGGAAACTTGAAAGAAGTTTGGCAAATTGCGTTAGATGACTCTGCACGAGTCCCACTGAAACCTTATGCCTAGTGGTGCAACGGATGTTTTTGATGGAGGTAAATAATGCCACAGTCCTGTGTTTTTTCTCAAGTGGTAGATTGCTTTCTCTCCAGTTCAAAATCTGCACTGCCTTTCCCTTCTGTAAAAACCAGGTAATAGCCTGCAACTCTCCCAGAAGCGTTATCATCCTTGTCCACAGTGTGCTGTTCCCAATTCCTTCAAGACCCAAAACAGATTAGCACTAAGGTGAGATCCTATTCAGACTTGTACTGCTTCCATATGAGCTTATAGTTGACGGCGCTGGGCACCACTTAGCAATAAATGCATACTTTTTAATTACAAAAATAGCTAGCAGTTCTGTGCTTGAAAACTCAGCTCTCATGGCTGTTCATCTTTTTCCTTTATACCACCAAGCTAAGAATTTGTATTACAAGTCATAGCAGGCAAAGTTTCAGGTGATGAAGGGGCCCTGACCTCATTCCTCGACAGCTATTTCAGTGGCGCCTTGAAGCTTGGCATGACACCACTTTGACATGACACCATTTCTTTGCAAGTGAGGCCAGAAAGAAATTGCTGCTTAGGAAAAAGCAGACTTGCAGAATTTTCTGGTGGCTCACAGCTCACTCTGTCTTCTGGGTGATTTCTGCCAGGAGGGAGATTGGCTGGCATGAGGTAGGCAAGCAAAAGGAAGGTTGCTTGGCAAAAACCTGGTCTCTCCAAGGTATTTCCTTGGCAGAACCAGAACTGACTTTCAGCTTCCCTGCTTTTTGAGAAACCAGAGGTTTCTCTTGCCAAATTGAGAGACAGTTTTAGAATGACAACTGTGCAGTGTCAGTCAATGCCTGAGGAGCATACCCAGAACGGCGAGCTGGTTCACAGCCTCCTACTTTCTACAGAACAAGACTATGGGTCTACTGAAATAGTGACCCTAGGAAGCAGTAAACACATGCATTGAAAAATGTTTAATTTTGAAAGGAGATCACAGAGGATGTCCTATAGCAGCTAGGGAAAAACTCAATTCCACCACTAATTTTCACCCAGAAGATTCAGTTTAGTTATACTTTATTTAAAACAAACTTGATATGTGTATATTTCTAAAATTCACTTGGTTTAAAATTAAAATATTAAAATAATCTCTGTGAGTTTTGACTGAAGTGCAAATCCCTGTGTCAACCCCAGGTCACCTAGAAAAGTTGCAGCATAGCAGAGCTCTTTTCTCATATGCTGCATAAATTCAGGTGATTACATTGTGGGTCATGATTTGGCATAAGTACTTCACATATGATTTTATGACCTTCCAAGCTTTAATTCTTTCTGCCTTCTAAACTACAGTGTTGTCAACACCACATCAATGACAGTGTATTACAGCTCTAACTGTGGATATCTGAATCCCTGGTTTTGGTATAATTCTAATTCTCATCAAAATCTTTAGTGAGGGTAAAAGTTATCAATTTGAGAACAAAGACAATAAAATGCTTCAAGGAACATAAAAAGCGAGCGATTGTTAAGCAGAGATTATATGTGTCATTATAAATTGGCATATATTGAAACATAAGTACTGGTTTTGTCATTTTTATGAATAATGCATTAAACAGAAATAATCAAGTGTGTTGCAACAATTTAGGAGGATTATTTCATTTCTTCAGTAACAATTTCCTTATCTTAGTTTTTCCATAATTTGAAATATGGAATGCTTTTTATTAAGATTTTTCCTAAGCTATGATTTCTTCAATTAGATATATTACTACATTTTTTCGATAACTTGACACCTACATGCAAGGGGGAAAGTTGCCACTTAGCAAATGAAAGAAGATATGGCAAAGCATCTAAAGTGATTTAGTTGCATATAATAAAAAAAAAAAATAATAAAAGAGGGAGAGGAAAGGAGGTGGTAAGGGAAAGAGAGGGGTGAGGGAAACCAGAGATGTTCAGAGATTGTTTTAACATGGACAGATGCCACCAAGGCAAGCAGTGGCTGTGCAAGGAACTGGGACACCACAGAGGTCACATGTTCTGTGATGCAGCTGCGATGTCATGCTGCAGCAGGCTTGATCCCTTTGGACTTTTGTGGAAATGTTAGAGCTACAGCCAACAGGGCCACAGTTCAAGAAAGCATAACTGCTAAGTAAATTCCTATTCAATTAATCATTCTTCTGTTGGAATAAACCCTTTTAAATGCATATGTTGCTGAAGCAAGGCCTAATCATAAGCCACTCTGCAGTATCTTCTTCTCTGGCTTCATGGTTCCTTTGGCCTGAACACAATAATTACATATCAGCAATTTCTGTAATGAATATTCATAATTTTCTTCAAAGCTTTAAGACAGCTTTTTTTTATTTCATCAGACAGACATGCCCCACCTCTCAGTAGTGTGCTATAGCTTACATTGGCTGTTGCAAGTAGTGTGGCTCGGTGCATGAATGGTTTCATTTTCCTATATCTCTCTTACAGGATGCTCTTGTCAGTAAGTGGAGAGAAATTGCCAGATCCTCCTGTAGTTATCTTTTCAGTAATCAGAAGCCTTTTAATATCTCATGGTTTCAGTTATAAGTCATGTTTGGTGGTTTTTTTCTCTTGAAAAGGTATAGCTAAAATTTGTCAAATACCACGTGCAAACACCTGGCTATTGAGCCTGCTAGGTTTCACCAGATCCTGTCTGTCAGTAGACTGAAACTGTCCTATTTTGATCATTACACAAAAAACCAGCAACTTCATAAGATGCTCATATAGTGCTTTGAAACAGTATTCATAGCTGTATGCCAGGAAATAGGTCTCTTTGTCAAAGGATACTGAATAAACTGTACAAAGCACAAGTAGCTTCATATGCAAGACTCTAGTACATAACGGTTTCCTACCAGATTTTTGGCAATTGAAGAGGATCAAAATTCCAAATACCTATGTAAGATCACACATGGGGTATATTGAATCTCTTCTTACTAAGATATTTCTGAAATACCTCAGTACAGCAGATCAATATAAATGTGAATCTAAACCCACACCTTTTACAGCTCTTTTAAATTTAATTCCTAAATTGATTGCAAATTTTTTTTTAAACAGAATATCATTGCTGAACATGAAATCCGTAACATTTCCTGTGCTGCACAAGACCCCGAAGACCTTTCTACATTTGCGTACATCACTAAAGACTTGAAGACTAATCACCACTACTGCCATGTATTCACTGCGTTTGATGTGGTCAGTTTATAGAACATACTTCATTTAATAGTTCTTTGTAATAGTAACAGTTATTTAATTCTGTTAAAATGTTTTCAGGGTATATGATGATTAATGGAAGGTATAATTCATTTACCACATGAAAAGACTAATGGGATATCAAAAGGACATTTCTGGAGAAGAGCCAAGATTTTCTTTGATATCTCATTTTCCATATTAAATAAGTCATCTCTGTCACCTCAGCTGTTGACTGTAAACTTAGAGAGCAGCTTTTCATACAAGTCTTGACGTGTAATTCTTATGCTATAACCTTCCAAGAAGTTTGTAGCAAGCAGGTTTGGCCACCTATTCTGAAATCTCAGTGCACACCAAAAAAACAAATCAGAAAAGGGTCCATGTGCATTATATACAGTGCTCAATCCTGCCAAGAGGTAGGTTCAGGAACTAGATCAAACTATGTTTGCAGGGCATCCTTCATGTTTTACTGCATTATACTGCCTGGGCAGTCAGGGAAGGACAGATTTGATGACATCCAGCCTTCTGGGTTTTCACCTTGTGTGTCCATCCCATGCCCCCCAACAAGCAGGTAGAGGGTCGGAACTTACTTGAGGGGGCCCTCTGAGCCTGGACACATCGCACCTTCTTGAAGTAGATGGAGGCTGCTTTTTGGATGAAGAGGTCAGATGTTACCACCAGGAGTGATTTCTTCAGATTTATTTTTTTCTTTTAAACTGGAAGAGGGTAGGTTTAGATTAGGTATTGGGAAGAAATTCTTCACTATGAGGTGGTATGACACTGGAACGGGTTGCCCAGAGTGGTTGTGGATGCCATCCGGGAAGTGTTCAAGGTCAGGCTGGACAGGGCTTTGAGGAACTTAGTCTAATCAAAAGTGTTCCTGCCTGTGGCAGGAGGGGATTGGAACTAGATGATCTTTAAGATCCTTTCCAACCCAAACCATTCTGTTATTTTGTGATTCTTCCCCTGCTGTTCCATGACTTTTAGTGTTTCAGTGTTAAGCTGGATCAGTCCCAATAACTCATCTCTCTAAATACTGTTTAGACTTTTTGGCATTATACTGAATAAACTGGAAAACTGAAGCTTCTTCTGAAAATGTGTAGAAAATGTATGAGAAGTTTTGTATTTATTTTAACCAAAGAACCGAAACACAGATCTGACAGAGACCACACAGGTAGCTAATTACATATCTTAGGAGGTCCTAGGAATATTTGGCTACTATACTGAATCTGAAAGATTTGAAATGTCTGTAACAACAGAAATTATTATTATTTGCTGATCCCTCTGTTCTGCTCTGCTGTCTGTCATGTCAGAGGGAGTTTTAGCTTGACAATTAAGGGAGATATGGAATTTGGTGAAATTTTATTTTATCAGCAGCTTTACCTTTTCAAAAAGATATTCTTTATTTTGAAAATAGCAAATTAATTCTTTATTTCTTATTTCCTTGTTCCAATTTTCTTGCCTACATATCTCAAAACGTTATTTCACCGTAAGTCCTTAGAACTCCTGTTATTTTGGTGGAAAATTACTCAGTTCTTCCTATATTTATGCTTCTCAGATGGGGATGCACAAGTTATTAGTTTGCAAGAAATCATGAACACATCAATTAATCGGTCATGCAGTTTTCAGCTAAATTTGGTGAAATAAGTAGTAGCTATAGTTTTTAGGACTAAGATTTATTGTCCAAAATTTTCGGGAGTACTTGCCCTTTGAGTTGTGCACAAGAGAAATTTAAGGTGGTATTAAAACTTCAAAATTATTCAAGAAAAAATGTTTTACTATGGTATAATGTGTATGAATTCTTGAAACATGATTACATGAATATAAACAAGTTTAAGAAATAGAGGGGCCTGAACGGTGGCATTTTATTTGGGACTGAGGGAATAGTTAACATTGCATAGCAATAGCATGTAGGAGAATTTAAATAACAAGTTGTACAGGTAGGTTAGAAGCAATTTTAGCATTTCAGTGGCATTCTGTTGTTTAAATTCTCTGTGGGCATTTTACTGTCCACAGAGAGTAGAAAAAACTTTAAAATTGTGTTAAAAGTAGATAGATGATGGTCAACAAGATGTTCCATTATATAGATTTTAGTGATAAGTGAATCAGCTGAAATTAGACTGATTGAGTGAGGTTATTATTTCTCCTCATCCATTTAAGTACTTCTTAATGGTTTTGAAGTACTGCAGTTTCATTTATAGGTTTAATAATCAAGCACAAACATAGACTCAGGTATATAGCAGATAAAATTCATCTCCTTTCTTGGCAAGGGAAGAAAAGTGATCCAGGAATAATTACATTTTGCTCACTTCCTGTATCTAAGGAGGAGCATTTAATACCCCAAGCACTTTAAACAGCTATTTTAAGCAATACAGAAACTTTATTGTCAAACTGTCATAACTTAGTTTTCTCCTGCAACATAATCCTCAGTGGGGTGTTACCTATTCAAATATTCCCTTTTTGTGTTGTTTTATTTCTCAGGATCTAGCATTTTTGATGCAAGTTTAAGCTGTATAAAAAATAGCTAGATATTCAGAGCAGAAGCATACAGTGAATTAAATTTTCTGTTTAAAATCTAATGCTCATGTTAGAGCCTGATCTCCCAGTTTACAAATAGAAGCAATCCTACTCATTTGTCAATGGATAGAAGTTCAATCATTTCAAGAAAAATAAGATTTAAAATGGTAGAAATCCACAATAAGGTGTAAAAATATGCATTTTAATTTATATATGTTATGGCAATAGAATATACGCAATGTTACGGTCTTTCAGTTTTTTGGGAAATGTGGACAAGAACAATTTCTTTGTAGATAGGGAAGTATTTTAGTAATGTCAACCACCAGCATAACTGATACTATTTCAGAATAGCTGTACGTGTAACTTGTCTACTCAGAGTTAAAGTTCTATAATCAAAATTGCAAAAACATCTTGACTAAAGAATATTGAAGGAGACAAGGTTTGGGGGAAGAAGAGGATTTATTGCTCAATATTTGAAATCCACTTTCATTCACTTACTAAGTAGCCTTAAATCTACCACTGAAGGATTCCCTCTTGAGAAACAAACCATCATAACATCCTAAACCATCATAACTATCCCTTACCAAATTCTGGCTCACGTATTGGAGACATCCAGAGTAATTTTCATTGGATATTCCTTCATTGCCCAATGCACCTATGAATAGAAGACAACAAAAAAGTCAGTTAAAATGTAAGAAAACAATTAGCCATTGTAATAGGTTGGCTGAATTAAAGCAGATGAAGAATCCTGACTCAGACTGGCACTGGGGTGTTGAATTGTAACATTGCAAAGCAAACAAGGCAATTGACCTCATTTCTCATCTCCCAGAAACTGTTGCTTAAAGGCATTAGCTTACTCACTTTCCTTCTCTGCAGTACTGAGCAAGGAGCAGGATTGTAGCAGCCTTGGAAGCACCACAGTCCTAAAGGTTTTGCCTCACTTCTAAAGAGCTTGATGGGGTTCCGTAAAGGCCGGTGTCTTTTACAGCGGCCAGGGGCTCTACAGCTTTGGTGCTAAGCATCTTTCAGGGAGGCAGACCTGTATCCTTCCTTTTGCGCCACGTGTCAAAAGTTCAAATAGTTTCCTTACTCCGTCAGAAGGATTTCCACAATGGATTTTGTGGTTTGGTTTTCCACCCCTATTCCCACGGGAATCCTGCTCTTACCTCTCCAGTATAGCCCCTGCAAGAATCTGTACCAACTCTAATCCTTATAATACTCTCCCAGTACTACTGGTGAGAAATACGTCAAACCAAGCTTATTTACCTATGTTTTTTTTCAAAATACAGTTTTTCAGATAAGTTCTTTAAATTTTATAAGGTACAATGTTAAAGCCCTCCTTGCCTCCATTTGCAGACTTCCCTTTGTCAAGGCTCTACCACAGTACATGTGTGAAATTTATGTACCAGTTACGGTTCGGTTTGCATTTCGAATACTGAACAGAATAGTGAATGTTCTATTTGCTATATTTCAAATATTTATTAACCAGAGAAACAGTTACATGTTTCTTATGGCTTTCAGGCTCCAGGCAGGCCTATTTTTTCATTTTACAGACTACAAAGGAAAACAAATTATAGTGGCTTCAGATAGGATGCAGGACTCAGACTAGATTTATGGCTCAGCATAGCAAACCTTTAGTCTGTCTCCATGCTTATCTTAGAGATTTTCAAGCCTGTCTTGGTGACATTTTGGTATGCCTCGCTGGATGGTGTATTTTCTCAGTCCTACTAGTATTGCAGCCTGCATTTTCTGCAAGCCATTACTACACCCTGTCTTGCTGATGTATTCCTTAGTAATAATGTTACCCACTCTAGACAATCCCAGGATGATATAGTATGCTCTTTTACTGTCACAACAGCTGATTCTAAAGACATCTGTCTTTAGATTAATATTCTTGTCCTACTAAAAAGCACACTCCAGTTCAAATTATATTATTTTCTACATTTTTAACAGTTATACTCTGCTGCTCTTAATTCTATAGCCAGCATTCTGCTAAAAGGCAGAGCAGTTCATAATAGCCTCTTTAGTTTTCCTTTTATTACCACACTGGCAAACTGCACCCTCAGTGTTTCTCGGTCCTGGCCAGTTTCTCTTGAAGTTAAAGGGGAGATAATTTGGAGACTACAGCTATCAAATCAGGCAGACATTTTTATTTGGGAAGCTCTGAAACTTTGGCTGGCTTGCTGTTGTAACTGCAGTTGTAACTGCTGAGAGCATGTCCCAGTGGAGGAATATAATTGTTTTCTGTCTGACCTAACACAGGCCAGAGCTGGCACTTTTATAAGAAGCTCTTATAATGAGCTAAATATGCCAAATTTAGCCTGTACTATCTCAGTATACACATGTGATAAAAAAGGGATTGAATTTCTTCAGGGAAATGAAAGTGTAGGGTGTGAAATAAAATGCTTATCCATTTAACTTTGTTTTAACAATTGAAGGACAAATTATGTACTTCCAAGTGTGTTGCCTTGCTTTCTGACTTACTGCAAATGTAACTTGACTAGGTAAAGACATGTCTCATTTAAAATTGTATCAGAAACATGTGGGAATTTTAAGGGATCACCTAATTTCAAAGCAATGCAGAATTGCTTCCAACTGTGGGCTATGGAGGTTGAGGGAAGGAGAGAGTAACTTCTTAATCATGTCAAAGATTTATGAATAATTTTAAGGGGACTGTAGGACTTCATATGGAGGCAAGCCTGCAGGCTTGCATTTGCTCTGCAGAGGTTCAAAACATTACTGCAAAGTTAGTAGCCCAGAAACAGGCTCAAATAGGAGCCTAAAAATAGGCTCTAGTAGGAGCCCAGAAATAAATATACCAAAACAAACCCACAAACCTGAAGAAAAATTACCATAGGAATTCACTTGCCGTTTAGATTTAAGGTCAGGCTGCCAGCTCTGGAGAAGGACAGGTCAACAGAAGAGTTCCAAAATAGAGCGAGGCCAAATGTCACATAGGTGCAGTAGTGCAAGAGGGGTGGGATCATGACAGCAGCAGATATGGGGTGAGCTGGGAAGTTGGGGCAGTTAATGTACTTGTTCTGAAAAGAGATGACACTCTTTTTTCACTCCTGTTTCCATGAGAATGTTTCAAGGGTTTTAGAAGTAATTACTTTCAATACAATAAATTACATTTAGATTGTTTTTAATCAATGAGAAATCAAATGACAAATGTAAACATTACAGAGACTAAAGAAGCTATTACCAGTATGACTTTAATTATTTACATTGCAAATCACTTCTGTAGGCAGTACTACCCCACTTCACGTATCCAACAATAATACAATCTCACTCCAATTTTAACTGTTTCTGTTTTGTTCCAGAATTTAGCTTATGAAATCATTCTTACCCTAGGACAAGCATTTGAAGTGGCCTATCAGCTTGCACTACAAGCACGAAAAGGGGGCCATTCTTCAACCCTCCCAGAAAGCTTTGAAAACAAACCCTCTAAACCTATTCCCAAACCACGTGTTAGTATTCGGAAGTCAGTGGTAAGTAGAAGGTAGTTATGCATGCAAAAAAAACCCAAATTCAGCTATACAGTTAAGAGTTTATATACTAGAAGCTGTACAAATAAAATACCTGTTGAGTCAGAAATGCTCCATTGTGTCACCTCTGCTCATCAGCTGGCAGGGTTGTGTCACTGCAGCACAGGCAGCTGTTTCAAACAACTGCTCATTGGAGCCTACATATTGATTGTCTTTAAAGGGCCCTCCTGAAGTGCAGAGATGACAGAGAAATATTCTTTTATGGTAGAACTTTTTAAAAAATTATGAAAGCTATTTTAAATCAAGTGAAAATACAGGCATAGGGTGATTTTGGAGGGAAAGGAGAAAAATGACTGCACACTGTATCATATTCACTGGCTATAAAGTGAGGACTGTGATATTTAATTACTGGGTGAGAGAACGGGGAAAAAAAATGTATGACTTTACACTTTGTCATCCATTGCCACAGAATCTTCCTCCATAAAATTGTAAGTAGGAACGTTTCCTGATGCTATCGTCTGTCTCATTAGCAAACAGACTTCTCAGGATCGAGCGTGGCTTTAACGAACTATGGTGCCCTATAGCTTGGGGGTAGACACAGCTCTGATCTCCACAGGAAGAAGAAGGCAGCCGTGAGTACATGGGAGTGTAGACACCACCATACTCGCTGCTGTAGGACTTTGTCCACTCAGGATTTGTTCTGTGTTCTGTTAGTTTAAAGAAAAAAAGTTCTGCTGGAGCTGCTGTGCACAGAGATGGTAACCCGTGTGTATGTTTGCGTTTGTCTTACAGCAGATAGATCCATCCGAACAAAAGACTCTTGCGAATCTACCGTGGATTGTTGAACCTGGACAAGAGGCCAAAAGAGGCATTAATACCAAGTATGAAACTACAATTTTCTGATACAAAACTGTCCCCCTGTTCCTTGTTGTGCCTTGCACGCCAAGCAGTCACAGCACAGCCTTTCCTTTATGGCAACGTTTCAATCCAGCAGAGAGGAAGACTGCACTGTATGGTGGCCTTGTAACTAACAAAAAAGGCTGACAGTCATTTCTGGTGATGTTCTTCTTCCTGCAGCACTGACAGAAGAATGACACTATATGAAGACTTTTAAAATTACAGTCCACAAGAGGAGTGAGAAACCTTATTTTTCACGCAGTTCTCCCTTGTGACTCTGCCACAGTGCTTTCTTTGATTTCTTATTTTAGGATTCTACTTTTTAAAGAAAAAAAAACAAAAGGTCTCTAAACTAATACTAATGCTGCCTATGAGTAGAGTATTTGATTGGGTTTTTTATTTGAATCCTGGCAGTTTTTAATTGAAATAGAACCAGAATTAATAAATAGATTATTTGTGAAACCACTGAATTCATTAATAATTACTGTGTTGAATAAGGAACTCATTAAAGTGACAAGAAATTAGGTACCCTGATTTCTGTGTGCGCTGATTTTATATGTAAAAATTGATGTCCTTTGATCCTCTACAGAAATAAGAACCTCTTGCATTGTAGCAAAGGATCAGAGTTTTATGAATTGATAGAAAAGGGTATTAATAATGCACAGAAAACATTTATTAGATATTTTTATGGAAGAGAAGTACTATAGGAAAACATATGAATATTTATGGAAGGAAGCCAGATTAATTATGAGAAATATTGTTTATTTTAAAGTTAAGTAAACGACTGCTATTGCAGCATTATGAAAATTGTAAGACTTGTAGCATCAGTGCACTGGATGTTCCGTGTAATCAGTCTGGAATGAAAGTGGAATGGTCATTCTACTACACCTACATATAGTTTATGCAGTTCAACATTGCTATAGCCATGAATTCTACTAATATTTTTAAAAAATAATCTCAGTGGTTCTAAAAAAAAGTCAAAACCATGGATTTTGCTATCAAGATTTCTGTCACAGAGTGTTGATAAAATTCTATTGCAAAACATTTTCTAAATAAAAATATTGAGAAAAAGAAAAAATTCCAAAGTAATAAAAATGTTTTCATGGAACAAAAGTTAAGCATTTGCTTAATATTTGATTAAATAAGATTTACTTACTTTTTCTTTGAAGTGTTTTAATTTTTTTAATGTCTGTGGAGTATTTGTATAATACCATGATGTATATTTATGTAGAACTGAAATTATAACAGTACAAATATCATTATAGGAGAAAAATGACATTTTAACGTATATTGTTCTATCCAGTCAAATTGTGAATCATTTTGAAGTTCATTATAGAGATATTGAAAAATTGTGTGGTTGTCTTAATGTTTTTTTAATTATTATTTCATATCCAGCTGAGGTTTTTCAGTTAGAATCATCAGTTGGTATATTCCAAAAAATGGATAATTGAACTTGGTTTAAACCTGATAATTGTATATGGTTTAGTTACACCTAATCATAGCGCTGAGTGATGACATACTTTTAATACAGTATTCAATTTACTTGAACAAAATAGTTCCTTGTACATATTTTTGCCTATTCACTGTTGATATGTACTTAGTCAACTGACAGTAAAAAAAATAACACTAAAAATATGGTACCAAAAGGAAAATTGTATAGGAGAACAGTAAATAGTAGCCTCACTGCAACAAAGACTTATGTAAATATGCTTGGGCTTCCAGTTATAAATTTTGTAATTTTGTCATTTATTTATATCCTATAAAAGCACACAAAATAAAATGAAGTTGTACAGTCCCAGTGCTTTGTGCATCATTTTATCATTGCTAGAGGAAGTAAGTGGCCTGATGCAAAGGGTACTGAAATGCGTGCAAGGTCCTCCCCTCCCATTTCCATGGGCTTTGGATCTTGTACTGAGCAAAGCCAGAAACTGCTGTGGAGGCAGTTTTGGTTTGGAATACAGATTTTGTTTACACGTGGTGAATACTTCACACTTTAAAGTCCTTAATTAACTGGTTCTTCCATGCACTAATCAACTGCTGACTTCCCATATTTAATTGCACCCTGTAAAGACTCTTGCAGGGAGTTATGTTAAAACACGTTCACTTCAGGCACACAAAGTATAGAGTGGCCAGGTTTTCAGGGTATAAAACTGGAGCACCTCTTATGCAGCTGAGTGACCCCTAAAATTAAAGGATGAGACAGGAGTTGCAGCACAACACTAAGCAGATGCAAAGGAAAGGTGTGAAACAACAGGAAGAACTGGCACCTTGCGGGAAGAATTTGATCTGTGTTTATCAAAGAGATGTCAAGTAGGTAAGGTGGCACAGTAAGCAGCTGAACTTGTTTGAGAGAGATAATTGGGGCAAGAGAGACTGAGGATGACTAGCAAGACTGATGAAAGATGAGACAGATGAAAGACTGGTAGGGCAGGAAATAAGTGTGAAGGTTTGGGGACACAGCAAGGCACTGAACAGAAGCCCCCAGAGCAGAAAAACTGAAACTAGAAGGAAAGATAAGAATTAACAGATGTAAGGCACTTCTGTATTTGCAGAAACCTGGGACTTTAGAAGGAAATATTTCCCTCACTAACTGATAAAGTGTAAGCCAGTTGGAGAGAAGTCCATAGAGTCCCCTCTGGCATGGGATAGTGATTCAGCAAGGGTATGTAAAAAAACTGGAGTATTAGGATGCTGTAAAACCAATTGCAATGACTGTCTTACAGTGGGAGGGTGGAGAACAGGCAAAAGAAGAGAGGTGATAAAGAAGTAGAGTGGATTTGACATGAGCAGATAAGCAAATTCAATCAAAATGAGGTGTGGGTGACAAAGAATTTTGAGAATTATTTGGGTAGTGAGGTCTCTGATATGCTGTTGTGAATGGGTGTTTTAGGTCACTCAAAGAAACACTGGCAAAGGTATCAGCAAAAGCAAGTTTAATAAAAATGTGAAAATACGATGAAGTTCATTGAAGTGCACTCTACTGCTTACTAGATGGTTAAAGCACACAGAGAAAAACCAGACTAAAATCTAAAATCAGTCAATCTATACTAAAGTCAGTCTAAAATTATCTGCATGGAGGCTGGGGATGGGAAAAGGTAAGGATGGAAAAGTGTAAGGATAAAAAGGAATGAGTCACAAGGTTCAGAGTGGACCCCCTTGCCAAACTCAGCCTCAGACTTAACCAATGGTTTAGGCCTAAAGGTTTTAACAGCTCTTAAACATAACAGCACTTAATTGATAGCATAATTTAAACGATTTAAGAAAATACTTTGTAAAATTTACAATGAGCACAACAGTAACTCACAGGCTTAACTCATGAATCTAACCTACTTAAGAATCTAAGAGAGCAGCATTCATAGTACATTTGCTATAGTGTATTCACACTTGCATGCACACAGACCTAAAGCAGTATGTACAAGGTATGTAATACCTGTGAAAAATTCCCCTCGGGTTCAGTGAAGTACTCAGGTTGGATGCCTTTGCACCTTCTCAAAGGGCAAAGGGTTAAGCCTCAAGGACTGGGGGTCTCAGCCCAGGCTCCATCACTGGCTTTTAGCTGTGATCCCCCAAGTATAGCAAACTTGGGAGTTTGCTGGGTCTGAGAAGGGTCTCACTCAGAAGGAGATTTCTGGTCGCAGCCCACTGTGGTCCAGGAGAGCTCAAAGGGTCTTACTTAGGACTGCTGTTTATTGGGTCACAGGAGAGTTGGCTTTGAGCATAGTAATCTTCCATCCTGGTCACAATTCGGGTCAGTAACTTTCTGTGAAAATTCAATCCTAAAAATGTTGTTACACGTGCATTGTTATTCAGGCAGGAGAAATAAGTTTCCAAGGCTGTTCGCTAAATAACAGGAGCTCATTAGCCAACATAAGTTCCTGGGGGCAGACAGTGTTTCTGATAAGCTCGAGGGGAGCTTAGCCCAGCTATTATTTATCAAGGCCAAGGCCTAACAAGCATTTCTGAAATCATAGTGTGGGCTGAGGTGGGAGGAGGGATGTACCACTATGTATGCAAGGCAAAAAAGCTGCTGCTGGGAGAAGGATTCAAGTTGGAGAAACTCCTGAGGAAACACTATGTTTGCAGAGCTAGAGGGTTTCCTAAAGCAGACTTTGATGTTGCATTTCAGACTGGACAGAGTGACTCCTCCAAACTGGCCTGGTGTTTATTAAAAGCCAGAAGAGCCACTACTCACAGCTGGCAAGAAGAAACACTCAGCATGTCCAGTTCTGGTATCTCAGTTTGTGAGAGGCTGCTTTTCCTGCAGAAGAAGGTTACACATGCCTTGCAGTTTAAAGCCAACATCTCAGCATCAAAAACTGGCATGGCCATAAAATGGTAACCACTGGGAAGACAACTGGCAGGTTGGCTGTCCTTTGAAAAAGAAGCAGCATGCTAGACAACTAATAAACTTGCACTTCCAACTGTGAAATAGTTTATTCCTTCCATTCTAGGTTAAAACAGGCAGTCTGTGCCACGTGCAGAACTCTAATTTTGCCCTAGATTTCTTTCAACGTGTCTGTTCAGCTGGCCTGCTTCACACTTCACTGGAGTACAATGTCTAAGATGTCATCGAGACAACAATCTAGAAATAGTAACTTAACTGTCTCCAAACTACCAGCCCAAAAAACAATTGACTCTGTGGAGGAACTGTGTGGCAGTGACAAGTATGTAAGTGAAAGACATGGCATAGGGATTAGGGAAAATATTTAGATGTGGGCACTTAGATAAGAAGAGGGATAGCTGTTATCTCATGTTAAAAAACCATCTGAAGAGAGTGGGAGAAAAAAGGGCTCTTAACTGGCTGGAAATATTGACAGGATTTTCAGCTCACTGGAAAGCGTGGGGGTATAATGCTCAGGCTTCTACTGAAAAGCTCTTTAATTGTTTAGTCCTCTGTAACTTCATTAGGTGAAACAGCTTCTTTGCTAAGCTAACAAATGGACTCTACCACTATCAAGTCCATGCTGATTCTAGTTAATCAAATGCTGATTCTAGTTAACTTTCACACCTGTGAGCTGATAACCTGAGCTAGGCAGAGGCTGACCACAAACTCAGCTAACTGAAACACATAACACAAGATTCACTTGTGGCCAGAGTTCTCACTGGATGTAGATTTTGTAGAACTGGTGGATGATTTCCTTCCTGCTGACTAGACAGTCACACTCATCCTCATTACAAGCCTGAATGCAACCAGCCCAAACACTGCTGTCCTACTGAAGAGGCAGAAAATGGCCCATGGTCCTTGCCTTTCAGGAAGGCTATGCTCAAAATGCATGAATGGGAAATGGCACCTACATCTAGCTCCCGCTCTTATAAAGAGCACAAGCAAATTTCTCTTCAGTTCTAATTAATTTTTATGTAGTGCCACATCTTTCATCCTTCTCCTGTGGAGTCAGGTACCTAGATATATTTGAGAATGTGGGTCTGAGTAAAGTGGTAACAACTAGGCAAGCAAAAATGCTACCAGTATGTAAAAGAAACAAAATTCTCTTTCTTTCTCTCCCATATTCTCTTGACACTGAGAGTTTGGATAGGAAAACTAATTTTTCTATCCGTCAGAAAAGCCAAATTCAAAATACTTTACAACAACATAAGAAAAAAATGAAGCTTACTGGAGATACTCAAGAACTGCTTGGACACAATCCTGTGCAACATGCTCTAGGATGACCCTGCTTGAGGAGGGAGGTTGGACCCTTCCAACCTTACCCATTCTGTGATTCTGTGAGGACCTTATAGTTTCTATGTGTGATGAAAAATCTATCACAGATTTAAATTCAAAAGCTCACTTAACTGTAAGATACATCCCTTTTTGTCTTCTTAAATGTTGCAATTCTACTTTCAAGTCATTAGAAGAAGTGCTCAAATTCTCCACACCCTTACACAAAGCTAAATTTGTTCTAATATTAAAAAAAAAAAAAAGGAAGAAAAAGTCATACTCACTGTTAAGGATGGGCCAGTGCTTGAGAGAACATGTCCAAATTTGAAGGCAGTGTATTTATTATCATATTTTCTAAACACATAATAGAAATCCAGAAAGAGTGAAAGAAAGGAGATGGAAATATGCTCCAGTACACAGAATACCTGATAAGCATTAACTTTATCCTATAGTGACACCATGAGGAAAAAAGAAATAGACCACACTAATTTAAAAAATGCATTAGATGCAGTGCAGTCTTCATTCTTCCAATTGTGATTATTTGATAATGATAATTGCTATGATGCAGAATGTCAGGCTTGGGCATGTCCTAAGCAAAAATATCTCAGTGTTTGTAATTGAGACTAGCACTACTTATTTCTTGAGTTTATGTTGCAAAGAAGACTAATATTTTAAGTTACCTTCCAGACAGTATATAAGCATATAAAAGTACCAGTGATGGATTAAGTGAACACTTCTGCGTTGGAATTAAGTGAATTTACTGAAACATACCAGTGTTTTGGAATGCTGTGCATGAGTGGAGGTTAATATGAAAAAATACTAGATAATTAACCATGGCCACCTCTCTGTCACAACCATTACATTTCACTCAGTTACACTTACATAAAACTTCAATGGTTACCTATGCCAAATACCTCAAAAACCTAGAAAATTAAACTGATTGCTACAAGAAGTAAGGAAAAAACCTACTAAAGTGCCAACATTATCCACAGCCCATGATGTGGCAAAAAGTCCTTGGGTGAGAAGGACCTCAGAAATACCAGCTGCTGCCACATATACTACAGAAAAAGATGGGGGGAAATATTCTGCCAATGTGAGTTTGGGGAAACCTGTTCCCCATCCAGAAGTCCAGTCATTGCAT